GTGGCATTGGCTTTGGTGGTAAGAAAGAGCAAAAACAGAGTGCTTCCACATCTCATGATACAAGAACTCAAGGAAAGGGAGGACAAAAGATTCAACAAAATGATGGACTTCTTAAACTTCCTAGAGTTGGTAAGGTAAAAGAAAAGAAGGTACACCCTATTTTTATTTGTCATCATTGTGGTATGCATGGTCATATTCGCCCTTATTGTTATAAGTTGTATGGGAAAGTGTATTTGCCTAGAAGATGGGGTTTTAAGAGGCACATAGAGGTTGGTTCAATTAGGCGTTGTGGATTCGCTAGGTAATTGAGAGTATACCTGTGTAATTCCTTTAAATCTTCTTAGTGGATTGTTCTTGTGGCTGTTGCCCGTGGGTTTTTGATCACAGTTGGAGGTGTCCAATTGTGGTTTTTTCCACGTTAAATCGTTGTGTCTCTTTGTTTTGATTGTTTGATTGGGATTGTTATATTCTGCTTAAAATTGATACATAATCATAAATCAACATCTAGAGGATTTCTAGATTTTTCAGTTTCTAATCACATAATAAAAATCTCCTTCAATTAATCAACTATTAAGCTAAACAAACAAAATGTATGACATAAGTAACAAAAAAAATTTCAAAAATACTTGTATAACTTTTATGAAGTTAAACACTTTATTTATTTATTCTTTTTCTTACATTACATTCCTTATTCCCCATTTTCTCTTAATTAGTAACACCATTTTATCCAATCATCCCACTCTAGATTAACACCACCAACATTATTGTTTATAAACATTGAGTGTGTCGCCAATGAGGGTTGGAGAATATTGCTGTGGTGCAGATAAAGGGATTTGGTGGTGAGTGGATGAAAATAAGGATAATATAATAATTTAATTTTGGTATTAGAAGATATTTGAATAAAAAAAATTGTTAGGTCAGTTACAAGAAATTTTTTAACAATAGGATATTTATAATTTTCAGAATGTGTAGGGGCAATATGTATTTTTAATAAATCTCAGAGGTGTGATTATAATTTATTTAAAAAATATATATGAAATGGTTGATAATAAAAACATCCCCAACACTATTAGTCATTGCGTCTATTCAAAAATTACTATAAAATATACATTTTATTTTGTCTATTTATTTATTTTTACTCCAACACTGTTATTTATTTTAGCTATTGCTATAAACACTATTCATTTTACAAAATGTCACATAAATAATAAAGATGGAAGAAAGGAATCACAATGGCCATTACGTTTTGCTTTAACTTTTGAAGATTATATCATATACCTAGTGTGTTATGTTAGAAATTTTAACCAAGACGCTCTGAAATTAAAATGTATAAAAACTATCTGTTTAGGCTTTTGAGAACATTTACAAGGTAACTTATTTGATTTGTTTTAGATAAATAAAGACTTATTTTTCCATTTGTCACATATCAAAAGAGCTTATCAAAAGGTTTTTTTTTTAAAAAAAAAAAAAAAAGAGATACCAAACAATATTTTAACCGTTATAAATGTCAAAAAAAATTATAATTGTGTCAAATAATGTCATTCATTGGGCAAATTACACAGTAGTTCCTACATTTTGTTACTTGTGTTATTTTAGTTCTTAAAATTTCATTTGACTTAATTTTGATTATTAATTTTAAATTTTGTGTCAATTTAATATAATTAATAATATCATTATTAAGTTTTTTTTTTACCAAAAATAATCATTAAGTTAATTGACGTTAAGTCACTTAAGTTAATAAATCTATAATTTTACTTCTACTTGTAAAAGCATAATACATGCCGCTCATATATGCATTTGTCATAAAAAAAAATTAAAAAAAAAAACTAAAATATGAATCAATTTGAGATAAAATAAAAATTCAAAACTAAAATCGAGCTAATCAACTTGGATACAATGAAAAATTCAATTTGTTTTTAATCAAAGGAAAACATTATGGATCTCAAATGAATTATCAAATTTTTTACCAAACTCCTCACATGAGTGTCGGACC